CAATGCTCAACAGTTGTTCAATGCTCAACCAATGTTGTTGTCAACTTCCACTCCTAACCTCCTGCTGTGCAACAAATGTCTGAAAATCAGATGGAAACAACCACTGAAGAATGCAACCAAGATTGGAACTCAAATCGAGGATTCGCGTCCGGGCGGTCACTGACAAATTGAAGAGGAACAATTGTGCAGCGACCTCTTGGATGTAATGCTCCAACGTTCGAAGCTGATTCCAACGACCACGCCACTGGATGCTTTGAATATCAGTCGACTGGAGGTATTCGTGAGTGGCGCCAGATCTTCGGAGGGTACCCGGCGTAGCACCGCCTTCGGCTTGTCGCCGGGGCACTTCAAGACGGTCCAAAATCGCGTTCCACTGGCGCCGGAAGACGGCTATTGAAGCGCTAAACAGAGGCGACTCAAGTTCCACATGCGCAAAGACACATCTGACCAAAAGCTGTATCGACTCATCATCAATCCTCACGTGTTGCTTTCGTGCAAATCTGGCGGTCTTAGGATTGCGAATGAAGATGTACAATGCTTTCTGTTCCAACAAGGTGTCTTCAGGAAAAATGACGTCACGTCGCCTCAAACAAATGAACTCATTCGGATGAAGCATGCCTCCGAATCCTAGCGCGACAAGTCCTGCAAAACTCTGCCACCCCCACAACAACGCCAAGGCCACAATGGCCCGGAACACAGGCGCGGAAAGAACTGCCCTGCAAGACCCTGGTTCTTCAAGCTGCCATTTCTTGTCCACCTGCCAGGCGCCACTGAGGTGGCGCCGAAATTCTGGTTTCACCTGTTGAACAGCCGTAATGGCATACACCAGCATGTAGCGTGGGGACCCTTGCTTAAAGAGGCTCAAACCGTATGCCTTTAGGGCTAAATCGGTGGTCTCAACTTTGTCCAACGCTTGCTCCAACGTAAGGCCCACATGGGCTTCACACCAGGCTGCAAAGGCCTTCAAGCATTTTGCCATCCTGTCAGAGGTCGCACGTGCAAACCCGCCGAGCAAGTTAAGATCACCCCGAGCTTGTAGCCCCTTTGAGGTCAACGGGCCGGGGTTTTGTTCAACATCGCCAGCGATCAACAGGAGCAAGCGGTACCATCGACCAAGCGGACGTATCCAAGTGCAAGACTCGACCATGCGATCGAACAAGTCAAATTTGCCCTCGCGCAAATCACCCAACCAAGGAGGCTCTGGCCTGGACGGCCCAGGCACGGCACTGTCTCTGGACGGGCCGTCAGCTCTATTCCATTGAGAACGACAGTGTAAAGTGCCTGGATAAAGGCAGCCTCCAAGCACATAGCCTAGTGTTCCACGCAGGATCCGACTTAGAGCCGGGCTACTGCTCCTCCCCTTTGCAGCCGCTCCCATTGTCACGCGTGAGTCCAACAATCCCAACACACGACTTCGACAATGTGTTTTGGCTGCATGTTTCAACCACGACTTGTACACCCGACATTCAAGACAGTTAATGTGCCCAGACTGTTTGAAGCGGTAGCGGAACAGTTCTTTGAACTCGACCCCTTCACAGAGGTCTTCAATCCACTCCGGATCGTCATGCCATGGGCGCAAACCAGTCTGTGTGTCAAAGACCTCCCGGTCAGTCGGTCCGTCGGAAGAGGCCTCATCTGCCCGTGAACCGCCAGTCTGATGCGCCTTACAACTGCCAGCGCTCATTGCCTCACACAAGGGAATCGGATAGCTGGCCGCGTAAGCGCTTACGGCATCACCAGGTTTGGGTCTCCTCCCATACACTGCCGACGTTGAAGGCCGACATCTAGTCTCAAAAAACTCAATGCTCTGTCTTGTAAAGGTCCCCTGAACTGTAAAATGCCGACCCCTGAAAGGACAAGTGCAAGAGCCACCTAACAACTTGTACCAAGGCTTATTGTGAAGCCATTTGCTAGCCTTCTGAAAACCAGATCCGTATGAACAGAAGCAGAATTTGGTAATATAACAACCAGCCTCTAACAGCCTTTGAAAGACGTCCAACAAGAACATGACCGATCCACCAGGCTGCTCACAAGAAATGTAACAGCCGCTAGTGAAAGCAAGAAACAAAATGAACGCCGTTCGAACTGCAAGAAGTGGTTACCGGATCCGCCGGGTCGAAACCTGCGGGACAACGCTTCGACCTCAGTCTTGGTCTCCTAAGCGTACCGAAAGACCAGCATGGCGGAGCTGCATGCCATTCTCGAACGGCACCGGTTGATGCAAGCTTGGCAAGGTCCCTGAACGTCTGATTGTCAAAAAGGTCACCATACCCACGCCCGACTGCAGAGCGCTCGATCCCAGGGTGAACTCTCAAGCCTCTGCGAGCGTGAGCTTGACTCCAGTTGCCAACGCCTGCAAACAGTTCGATGCAATCAAACACGACTGTATTGTCACGCAACGACCGAACGAGCTTGTCGGGTAAAGGGGCAACAACGGATTGGGTTGCAAATTCGGACTCTCCAAATGCCTCGCAATGCTCAAGCCCAAGTTCCCTCAACGCCAACCCAGCTCCCTGCTGCAACTTTGTATAGAACCCTCTCTGCTCCGAGTGCCTCCAGAATTCACCAACAGCAACTGACGGCATGGCTGCTCGGCAGATACCCCCACCAAACGGTGAGGCATCAAGCATGTAGACAAAAGGGGCTGTTCCTGCCCGCATGTCGGTCTGAAAAGTGGGTGCAACCAAACAAAGGACCATCAACTCAGCCCTGCACTGCTTGGACATGTGAAACACGAGGTCTTCATGAAATTCAGCACCTTCGTGATATGCTCTGTCTAGTATTGAAAATGCTGGTCGTCTGAAGAGTAACACGTGTGTCCAACAGCCGATTAGCCCTTGAAGAAGTTTCCTGGTCACAATGCCTTTCTGCACGACCACTGAAGTGATGAAACACAGCATGGCCATCCTCCCTCGGGGAGCAGACACTCTGCCTCGTGAGCCATCAAGTTCAGCGCCAAGTACTGTGGTGTGAGCGACCCGACGCTGCTTCTTCCCTGGGTGTGCGGTCAAACCCACGTCTTCATAGGCTTTGTTTGCTGCTGTAAAAACTGCGAGGTCCCTGGTTGCAGGACCGTCTTCACTAGAATGACCCTTCAACTTTTGGAGCCCTATGTGGTCGTCAATCGTCAGGAGCTCAAAGAAGGAGCCTCTGGGAATGGGCTGTCGATAAAGCAAACACTCCTCTGGGCGCATGCACCCAGCCTTGTTTTTCAGCAAGTTGACGTGCGCTTGCTGCGCAATCTCAACAGCCAAGGAGTCTCCCATTGCGAGCGTCGCCAAACACACAAGTAACTCACCCTTATGTTTGGTGGCATCAAAACAAGTCAAGTGAGCAAGTTCTTCAGCTTTGAAAGGAGTACCAATGGCGTTCCTTCTTGCTCGCAGGTCAGAGACCTTGAACGTATAGTAAAATTCGCACAGGTCATCCGAGGAGCACACCAAGCGCTCATCTGGCGCAAGTTGAATCAGGGCAATGAGATACCCCGGAGCAATCGTTTTGGTGAATCGGGAGTACGGGTAGCTACGGGAGTTCACAACAGTTGGATTAAGAATCAACCTGTCAAACTCGTCGTCCTTGGGGACGGCGAACATGCCAACTGTCTCATCAGCTCGAACTTCCTCTTTCTTCACCAGTTGACAGGCTCCCAGGGCGTCCCACTTGGATGCTAGTGCCAATACCTCATCTCGGGTGGCATGGACCTGCGCTTTTGCCATACGAGGCCAGAGCCCCTCCGGCTTCCTCAAGAAATCAGGATCCTCAAAGGCCCGCCGAACAATGCCGTCACTTAAAAAAGGACGAGGGTCAAAAGATGGTGCAAGCTTCCACTTTATACGTGAGGCCTGAACAGCTTTAGCTTGGCAGGCATTGCTTGGGATCTTGACTTCAGGTCTCGTTGGCCGGGGCACGTCTGCTGACTCGATCTCTGAATCCTGGGGCTCTCCAGCATCTTGTTGGCCACTTTGGGGTGTCTTTGAACGTGGTTTCGAGTATGCATCAAATGAAGCGTGGATGGATCTTAAAAAACTACTAATGTCACCAAGGCTCAATGAACACGATGACTCAAAAAGCGAAAACGAATGTGCACTCAATTTGCTTAGCTTCTCGCCGGCCCTGCCCAAGGAATCATAGGAGACATCCTCCCCTTTCAGGAAGTAATCTATCAGATCCTCAAGCCGCTCGAGCATGTCCTGCTGAGCAGGCGTCATCGGGTAG